CCTTCAAAAATTTTAAATATTGTACCAAATATTATTATTTTTATTATTCGTTGTATCGTAATCACTACAATAGTATAATTGTGTAATCTAGTTGTGAATGTTTTTTAGAAATTTTTCAAATATCAAACTTTTTCTAAAATCGTAAATGAATAACACTTTTAGTTCAGTAGTAAGGTTAGATATTTAAAAAAATATAATCTATTGTATCAAAAATATAATCAAGTAAACATTAATACAATAAATCATTTCAACATTATGTTTTTAACTCGAATTAAACAATGAACTTTTTCTTAAAATTATAATATCTATTGAGTTGTGTATGTTGAAGGGTTGAAGTCAGATATCGGTATTGTGGTATTGGAATCGGAAACGGAATACCGTGTAATACTGGTAAACCGAAAAAAACTGTAATACCGGAATTTACTGGAAAACCATAATATGTTCTGGAATACCAAAAAACGTTGATGGGGTTGACTCCTTGATGGTAAATTTTAAGTCAGATAATAGTAATGCGGTATTAGAATCAGTATACCGAAAAAATCTTAATCACGTAAACTCATATACAAGTTATATACGATATTACTTCGGTATTGAATGATACGTCGGTGCTTCAGTTTCAAAGTATACCATTTACATGGTATTTGAGCAATAACCGGTATACTGATATAAAAACTATCAACCCTAATGTATGAATTTCAGACCATTTGGTAATTTTTTTTGTTTAAAAATAAAAATAATATTTTCAAGGCACATGACGTTGGCTCACCGGCATCACAAGATTCGTTCAAAATGTATACCGACATTTTGCGAGGAATTTGCGAGTACGTTCCCAGAATTTCTAGTCGTTACTTCCCACTCTATTTAAGGGTGGGCCAATTTCAGTTAGCTCATCCACCTTACTCAAATCTTTTGATATCGCAAACGCATTCCAATTTTTATTAAACCTTCCAGACGCTATACCAAATAAAACAAAAATGATCAACTTTACAACTTTGAAAGCTCATATCCAAGTTTTTGACGACTAGAAAATTAAGATTAACATTTTGGGACTTTTTAGATTAATGAGGGTGGGTGGGCTGACTACGGTACTTTGATAGCTCACGTACAAGCTTTTCTTCTACCAAAGAAATAACAGAACTTTTATTGGTTTACTTGATTACAGTTTTTTTTTTTTTACTAACTTATAATCATGATTTGATAAATATTTTAAAAATATATAATTAATTGTATTTTTAATAGTGAAATAGAATTCATTTAATTACCAAATACTAAAAATATGTTTTTCTCCCAAATGTCACGCAACCGCACGTTTTGTTATTTCTTATTACAAATACCTACATTTTCTTATAGGTGCATATCGTAAATATTTTGTAAAAAAATCTTATAGAAAAAAAAATACTGTTTTATATTATGTAAGTGGACATTGCACATACAGATTTAGTTATCTATTTTTTAATAAAGAAATAACAAAATATAAATAAAACATATTTATAGTATTACAATAAAATCTATATAGACTGATTAATGTTTCCCACATACATGTATTCCGTGAGCAGATTAAATAATATCGATGATTAATAATCTAAAATATAAATTATTGCTAGAACGAGGAAAGACAATAAAACATAAAACATTGAAAAACTAACAGAGATTGAGTAAAATATCCTATGACCCACATGGTCACATGACCGTATAAGATAACTAACTGTTTAAGACTAAGTATAACAATATTATTTGTAGTCTGTGTGTAGATAAAATATATCTCTGATTAATAATTTTAACTAGAATTAATATTCAAACTAGTCAGGCAGGAGGTAAACAAACGGCCTATAATATTTTCATCGACAATTCATTCAGATAAGACGTATATTTATCGATTTTTTTACCAATTTAAAAAAACCATAATTATTATATTGTTATTAAAATATTATGTAAGATATGTATTTAAATACAATTTAAAGAAATATGCACTAATATGTGAATAATAGTTAATTAATATTGTTAATATTAAGAAAAAAAAATGAATTTCTAGTAGATTCTTTGTATTATGGAACAAATTTCTACTTCACTAGTCTATTTTTCAAAGATTATTATGAATCATTTCAACTCATATAAGCTAATTTCTCTTATAATAAAACCAAGTGCAGTTATTTTATCGCATCTTGATACGTGCTTTCTATGATTCACTTAGTTCTTAATTTTTTCCTCCCCTAATTTTTAATGTTTGGTTAGACGACTCTATCGGTAATAGCGATTTTTAGCTTAAAAGTTTTTAATGTGTCTTATGATTTTATTGCACCCTCTTAAAAGTCATGCATTTTATTAAACAGATACCTGCAAACTCGCAAATGTCCTCAGTAACATAAAATAATAGTTGCAAGCAAATACACGAAATGTTCATCTGTCTGCGCAAACATTTTAACCGGATGATTTAAAGGTTTTTGTCGTATACCTATAATAAAACAAACACCACTGACGACCGTGACTATGGTCCATAATATGTTATTCGTGGTTAAAACGTAAAACTGTGCAGGTAGTAGATAGTGGGACGACGGTGGCCTGCACATATTATATAATCACGAACATAATGCGCATATCAGATAACGAAACCAAATGAGAGTAAATATACTATTTAGGTTATTGTTTAAATAAGTAAATTGTGGCACACGGATTAGGCCATACTGCAATACAAATCGCGGAGGATAGTGCTTTTATTTGCAATTTCTTGTCATTGATTAAGCTATAGACATCGCTTAATATGTAAGAAACGACAGGGCTAAATGTTAATATCAATAAGCGCAGATGGCTTGAATAGTAATTCATACCTCACTTTGATAGGATGTGTATAACTGCAGAGATATTTCTCTTCGGATTCTTAGTTTAAACGAAAAACTAGAATTATAATACAACGAGCACTGGTAGAAATATTTTTTTATTTTACTTGTAGGTAGGTACCAGATAGATAGTTGAACAATGAATACGAATTTAATAAAATAATAGTTAAATACATAATATGCGAGTAAGGCTGTAACCACCATCGGTGAATATTAATTTAAACGGTAATGTGGATGGTAATAGTAGTAACACTTAATTTTAAGTGTTTTGAGAAGAAAAGTTTGGATAATTTTTTTTTCTAAGTATAGTATTATATAATTATTAGTCGATCAGAAAAAGATTGATGCTAACAAACTTTATATTTTAAACGTAAAAAGGGGTATTTCTAACTATATACGTATATTACGTATATTATGTTATTTTGTGTTCTTTTAATACTTCATTAAAATATTATGCTTCAGCTGATTCTCAAGTTTGGTACGTCCAAATTGGTTGTAATAATAATAATAATAATATGTAGTATATTGTTTCTCAGTTGCATATTTTCATTTTTCCCCTTGGTATTCTCATAACGTTAATTAACAGCAGTGATCTATTAAATTCTATTTTTGTTACCGTGTTGATACCTACTTCACATTTCATGGGAATCCCATTGTTTTTGATAGGTAATTTTTCGATCTCTTTAAAATATTTACTGTTATAAGAAAACTTGTATCAATTAGTATACTATTAGAACTAATTTATATAATGTGTAATTCAAAAAGTCTCATATTATGCGATGAATGTAAAAATATAATAACTCAAAAAAAAATTATAGGTATCAGTCCATACAAAAGGGTATAAAAAAATTAAATGTTTAAACATAGTAGATATTTTTTGTTTGAAGGAAAAATTATCATGTAGGTACATGTATGGTAATGTGTACACGGTAAATATTTTTACAAGCGTGACAAATTGCCAGTAACATGTTATTATTCGATTTTCCAGTAACGTGTACACGATAAAACAAATGTTTTTGAACGGATCACACATCATATGTATAATATAATACTAATTTACTAAAAATAATTTTTATTCATATTTATTAAAATACCAAGTACTAGCTAATACTGGGAGGTGATATTCATAATATAACTAATTTTTTTTTCGAGTGTGCTTCAAGTGAGCCAACAGATTTTTTGAACAAAAAAATAAATACACATTATTTCTAGCCTATTCGATAGTATTGCGCGTTTATCGGACCTTGGAAGGGGTGGTCTATGAAGGGGATAGGTCAGTTGACCCATCGTTATTTTTTCTCAATATTTTATGTTTCTAACATATCTATATAGACTGTTTTTATTTTAAAAATATGTCCAATAATAATCATTTCGCAGGCCTCTCTAAATTTTTTATAAAATAGTATCTCTGTTCTCTTTTGAAATATGGCTATAAATATTAAAAACAACTTTCATATACAGCAATAATATTATGTTTGGTAGTGTATTTCAACATAGGTAGGTATACTATTTCTTTTCAGTGGCTGACAGTAAAAAAAGTTGTTTTTATATACTTAGGTAGTGTTATTGGGGTATTTGGTAAAATAACTATATTGACACACTTTATACGTATAATATTATACTCATTCAACGAGCTATACCAAGTGTGTTTATTATGATGTACATTGTATGGATATGTTAATAATATATTGTGGAGTTGAATATTTGCATATACCTATTATATCAATAAAATAATTTTTATTAGAATAGCCCTTTCAAATTAAATTGTTCTTATAATAAATTATTAACGGTTTGGTAAATATATGATTTTTAAAAAAGTTTTATGTCATTTTATTGAATTTAAATAAATAATAATAATAATAATAAAAACAATTTAATTGCAATAGGTAACTAAATATTATTCAAATGGGTTTTACTTAAATTTGTGAGATTTACATCTGTTTGTGCGGAAAATTAGTTACGTCAAGTTATTAAATACATTAAGTAAACCCATAGTAGCGGTATACTCAGTGTGACCTCACGTGATTTGGGCTGATCTACAGTGTACTAGAGTCACTAGAAGACGTGTCGACCGTATATCGGAAAACAGTCGTGACAGTAACCTAATATTATTATTATTGGTCATCAGATAAATCGTCGACGGGCGATGTACGGACTTGGAGTTTGCTATCTATTAGGTACCTGAGCGTATCTGTCCACGACTCCGTCGCCCATGTTCAGGTCCGTCCCAGCGGTGCAGTTGCCGCCCAATTGCTGTTGCGACTCGACAATGCGGAGCAGTGAGTTGGCCTTGTGCCGGTAGTGTTGCTGCTGCTGTCCGACGTCGTCCGTGGCCAGCGACGGGGGCAGTGGCCGGGCCGCGCCGCCGCCCGGGTCGTGCAAGCGTCCGTTGACGGCAGCCGTGGTCACTGTGGCCGCGGCCACCGTGACCGCCGCCGATGTGCCGTTGGCCACCGACAGTTGCTGCAGGTCGTAGTGCTGTTGTTGCGCCCACCTGGCCATCCTGGACCTGCCGTGTCGGACGGTGACGGCCATGGCGCTCAGCACCCACATGGACACCACAGTGGCCACTAACATGACTGCGGCTGTTGCGGTGACGGCAATAGTGGCGGAAGCCACACAGAAGCGGTTACGGTGGTCGCCGGCGTGTTCCATCGGTGGGCCCGCCGGCCGCAGCAGGCCATCGTCGGACGACGCACGGGCGGACGAGTCCGATCTGGCGTCGAATTCAAGAAACGATACGGCGACGGGATGTGTGTTTTTTTTTAGTCTCGTCTCGGACACGACCACGGTCGGTAAATACCAGTGACCACGCCGGAACGCCGCCGGGGCGCCCGGGACACGAAACGAACGGAGGCGATCGTGTTGCACGCGTGTGAGAACTCGTCGGTGTCCGCCGATTGCTTTGCGTTCGCGTACCACCCAGGGCGGCGTTGGCGACGTGCGAACCCGGTTGGCGCCGTCGAGCGACTAACGGACCGCCTCAACGTTGGCGTGCGATGAGGGCGACGAGGGCGCCACGCGTTACGGCCGTGCACCACGCTCAATCACCACCGTCACACGGTCGTTTCCTCGCTGCAGTTGTGTACGGGAAGAATACAAGTGTTACAGCCGGTGCTTGTTCGGCTGGTGTTTCAGGCAACGGGTGTTGTTGGCTTTAGACAGTACCAGCCTCCAGTCGAAAAATCTTTGGAATTTACAGAATTTTTGAATTTTCAGGATCATATTATATTTAATAGTTTTTGAAAACACGCATGAGTAAACTGTTTGTACCCGGTCGGGAACACAGTTTCGAAACTTTGTATTCGTTAAGATTAGCCAAAAAAATCATGTACCCACATAATATTAATATATCCTACATAATATTGTGCGTATTGACATCTCAATGTAGGATTACCTAGGTGGGTGCTACAGGTATGTTGGGTGCGTTCGATCAAGTGTGTGTCGAAATCACAGGGTCGCTGACCACAGCACACTGAGTACCCGATTATATTCCACCTATGTCGAGTGGAGTTAGGAATACGAGATTTTAAAAACAAAAAAGGTATACAGCATTTAAACGACTTTATAAAATATTATATTGTAAGTTTATTGTGGATATATAATATACATTATAATTGGTATATATTTAAAACCATAATTAATATTCGATTGCGTACTAATACGTCATGAAGGTAGGTACTTGATAAAAAAAAGGCGATACGAACTATGGAAATAAAGCTTAAAAATGGTAAAACTATTATTTTGATTCACCAAGCATTCTTACCATCCTTTTCTTCAATAATAAATTTATTCAAAATCTGATTGTTTTGAATTTTTTAAATGTATTTTAGACCATATTTTAAAATTCTTGATATTTTTTGTATTACTTAAGGAGAATGAAGATATTTGAATGCCCTATGAAACTTCTGTTTTTCAATTTAGAACATCGATATTCAACATATTTTTCAAAAATTGTTGACGTATCAAAATCAAAATTCGTATCAGTAGTTAAGTAGTTTAGAAGTCATTCACTTTGTGTTCTAAAGATAAAAGGTCCATGATAATGATTCTATAATGAGATACCTATGTAGGCTACAGTGATCTGAAAATTGTAGTATTTAATTTTAATCTGTTCTTATTAATAATTTTTAAAAATACAACAATATTATAATAAATACTAGATCCAATTTTGTATCTATTTCATATTTATATAAAACCATTTTTGAAGAATATTATCCTCAATACGAACATTTTAATAACTAAGAAAACTAATTCAAATTTTGAATAAGTGACATCAACATTAAAAAAAAAAATATCTACTAAATAATTTACAGTAAAAAAAGGGGGATTGTAATTTGAAAAATAGAAGTTTGTATCGCTACAGAACTCTCCTCAAGTAGTAAAAAAAAATTAATTTAACTGAAAATATGGTCTTTGAGTATATTTGAAAATTCCAAAAATCATAATTTTAATAAATTAGGGTGATCATACTTGGTAAATCACAATGTATATTAAAATAATGTTTGTACTTTTTAATATTTTTTGACTTAAAATCCAAAATTATTTGTATTGTTTTTCCAGATCATTGATTTCATCCACTCGTCAAACCTAACTAAATGATTTTTGAAATAGTATAAACTATTTTAGGCGGTATTTCCTATATTAGATAAGTATTATAACGTATATACAAACATACTTCTCTTTTAATAATATGAGATAAATCTTATGAAGCTGACACTCTGATATTTCGTAAACTTAGCTACTTATGTCTTATACACTAAGTGCCCTTATCCGTCTTATAAAATACATGTATTTATGTTCATATATTTAATATTATTATAATAAATATAGGCATAAGTCATATCAAATTATAATATTATGTGACATAAATAAAAGGGAACAAATTGTTAGTAAAAAGTTTGTTTTAATTCAATAAAATTAATTTTGATACTAACTATCAACAAATTAACAGTAAAAAATGAAAATGTATTTAAAAGTTAACAAACTTTATGGATTCGATATCTGAAACAAAATAGCTCTAAAAAATAAAAAAAACTTATTAACTTATAAATTAAATTAACTACTTATTATACTATATTTTTATTATAAATACATGAAATGTCCACAATAATCACAATATTAATATTATAAAATACCGAAAATCGATCAAATGACATTAGTGTACCTAAAATGCCTATACAGAACGCCGTGTAGGCGTAATTGAAATTATCAAGTTATGATTAGTATGATGTATATTATTTAACTTCATGGAATAGTATTTTCATTTTAAAATCAATAATTCGTAAGTAATGAACGAAAAGTACAACATTTGTAGAATTGAAATGTCCTCATTAGCTGAATTATATTTTGAAATAGACATTCAAATCGCAAATTAATTCTACAAGTCATCATAAAGAGACATCAAATAGGAATTTTAAATATAATAAAAACGTATGTTATATCTGAACCTAAACTTAGTATGTTGCTGAATGACTATATAGGTGCAATTACAATAATTATACCAGTTACGGAGTATCATTTAACAAAATTGCGAAACATTAAAGTTGTTTTCACACTACATACTGTGTCGTGCAATGTTTTATATTATTATATTTTACACAAAGGTGAAGTAATTATTATGGTAACACTTTAAAATATACAAGTTGGATAAAATATTGAACTCCACACCATGATGTAGCATGAATACAGATTGATGACGTCATACATACATGTGTATTGTCTCCGTATTACAAAATGAAATGATGTTAAAAAAATAATGATCATAATACAGCGACCTAGTATTATATAATTTTTATTTTTGATATCTTCATTTCTAAGCAAACTTATCTGTATTTCAAGAATTTAACGTTTGTGAAAAATATATAGTGTATAGTATATATTTTACAGTTTGATGGAAAACGATCGGCCGCTGTGACTTAGGCGGGCCACCAGTTGATGAATAAATTACTAAAATGTCATTCGAGCATGGTGTTATTTGTACTCAAAAAATTATTTTAAATAAATTGGTACCATTGAATTTATTTTTATGAAAAATAATGTGTCCGTAATTTCTCATAACATTGATTGATAGCTTACTTATAAAAATACCTAGTTATAATTTATTCAGTCTAATTAACTATTAGTAATATTATTTTATAGGTAACATTTAATAACATAGTTTCTCCATTTTGACAAATATTCGATAATATTAATTTTAAATAATATTCAATGAACTATTTTTTTAAATATTTATGAACAGTTAACCAATATGGACTGCTTTTCAATTTTTACACGTAATATTTTCACTGAATTCCTCATAATTTAATATATTATTTACTACGTTTTGAATATCGATTAAGTGACTATACTGTCCATAATTCGATATAATCAATTATTCAAATAGCATACAATAAATTGCATAAGTGTAAGTTTTTTTTTTTTAACTTGACACACTCTTGTCAAAATAATGTGTTATAATAAAAAGACATAATATTATAATGTCACACACCAATGTAGTTTCCAAAGGACTTGTAGGACTGTTGTCTATAATTTTATGTGATACACACATTCAATTTTCTTTTTTTTTTTTTGCTCAATAAATTTTTTACACTTCTCCGCAAATTATACACATAGTGTCATGCAATAACTGCAAAATGTTAATATAACGATAAAAGTATTTTTTTTACTAAGGAATATATATTTTAAATATGATTATGAATTCGTCTGACGTAGAGTTGACAACAAGGTTGTTCTGCTGAAGGGTATTAATGTATTACCTTTAGCCATAATAAGTAATTTAAAAAATGACCCCAGTTTTTTTTAAAATAATTTTATTTTTAACTGTTTATTTTTTGTTTGTATATTTACTAATATTTGTTTGTTATTATTGCTATTTGTATAATATTCTGCAAATAAGCATTGTACAATAATAATTGGATAATATTATATTTATTTCAATGGTGATCTTGAATATATTCATACTTTGTAATAATTTATAGTTTAAATTAATTAAGATATTATCATTTTTTATTTTGTTCAATTTCATTGAGAAATTTGTTTAGTTATCTATTAAGACCCATGACTTGAGCCATTAATGAAATATTTAAATTAGTTTACATTACATTTCTTATACAATTTGAATATCAAATTTATTATGCGTTGAACCATAATAACTGTCTAAGCTTTGAAAAAATAAAATAAAACACTTAATTACTGAAGTATCAAATCGTTTTGATTATTATTACAAAAACTAAGCATTTATTAAAATAAATAAATAATATTATATTTTTGCATAATATTATTTATGAAACAAAATATTTAAATGTATGGTATCTTGTTCTTTTTTTGTAGTACATTGTTCATCGTTTGTGACAATCAGTTGTATGTGTAATAATAGTAATTACAAGAAATAGGTAACTTACACTAGAATACATTTTAACCCACAATATTATTAACATAATAATTAAATAATATAATATAGGTACCTATAAAAAATTTAAGAATATAACAATAATTGAAGACTATATTATTGAATAATCATTAAGCATATTTGATTTCGTTTTAATAAAAAAGCTAAATCAAATAGTTATTTTATGTTAAATTCAATTCAATATGCTTTGTGTACTAATTATTATATTATCACGTTGTGTTTGACTATCGGATATTGTATGCGTATTCTGTTTAAAACGATATGACGTAGAAAATTGGGTATTGTATTGGAAATGCTAAATTAGTTTTATCATACATTTTTGACCTATTTAGTCATCTAGATATATTATATTTGCATGGCAAATACCCATCGAAGGTTGATTTTTTTTTTTGTCCATTTCAACAAACGTTCTGGCATTGTTTCCAGTATAATTATAAGGATAATCTCAATGCGAGGCTAGACACATCTATATAAAATCACGAATAAATACGTGAATAGAATACAATGATAGTTGATTCAACTAGACAGTATATAATATAATTGATCTAATCGGGGATCAAATGCACGGAATTTATTAGCCTGTCTGAGTGCGTATCTAAAATGTGTAACACGTAAACTTAAATAAAATATAATCATTAGGATGTATTTACTATTTATTAGTTAGTGATTCAGGCCTGATTTCCAAGAATCATTTATCAATAAAATACATATTATATATATATATATAAACAATATATACAATATATACAATTCAGAAAAGGAAGGATAATAGACTGATTAACGGTAAATTATTTTGTTTATAATGATTATTGTTACTGGTACACACCAGATATACACACTTTTAGGGTAGGTATGTCTCATCTATGCCAATTTGTCTCTAGTGATGTTTTAATACAGTATACAAGCTCTAAACCATTACTATTTGGATTTCAAACCCGAAAATATCTAGAAATATTGTATGTTTACTGTTTCTGGGTAAAATGTAAAATGTTAATTAATTAAATGTTGACATTGTTAACTATTACAATAACCATCAGTTCCTATAGTTGTAAAAACAAACTAACTACCTACATACAAATATCGTTAGTTGGTATTATATTTTCTAAATAGGTGCAATGTGAAATACCATGTTTATATCCACAGTAAAAAGATATTTGTATAAACATTGTAAGTTGTAACTAATAATTAAATAACAACTGTCATTATATATTAACCAAATTTCTTTATAATATATATTATTTGCAATGACTGACATTGTATTAATAATTATCAAAAAGAAACATACCTGTAACGTATTATTTATAAGAATTAAAATTAAATAAGAACACACGGATAATATCACTTCAGGATAAATGTATAAAACATTGTCAAAATTACTTGTATTACTTGAATTAAATATACTTACTTGTTTTACCATAGTGAATTATAAATTAAGTGTCTAAAAATAAAAAGTATACTTTTAATTTACTTGTGAAAGAAAAGCTATTGTCTTCTATTTTATGTCATTTGCATTTTTTTGTTTTTAACACTATCTGACTTGACACTAAATAAGCTTAAACTTAAAAAAAAATAAAGCTCATACTCTGATTATAATTATAACATATTACTCTTTTAATATTTAAAAAGTTTTTATATTATCCAATTAAGAATACTTCTGTACTAACTAAACTCCATGTTAAATATTTTAAAATGGATAACAATAATATTATGGCAAATATTGCATTTACTTTATCAACATTTTACAAATATTGAGCTTAACAATCGATGATCAAACAGTGATTTTTTTTAGCTATGAGCTTTTACCTTTTTAGGATGAAAATAATTACGGTAAAAAAAATAACATTAGATGCTTTAAATGGTAACTAAGTATTTAAATTAGCATTTTATGGATTATTGTATTATTATTATATATAATATTTGGTTTCATATAATATAAATCTTTAACACAACGTTACTCACTAAATTTTATTATAGAAATAAATTACATATAATGTAAGTAGGTAGGTACATATGTGACATTTTTATAAAAAGCTTATTAAGTTATGTTGCCGCGACACAGTGTTGTGATTATCATGCGATATGCAAAACAGCGCAACGGCGGCGACCAGTCTTTATCTCTCTCCCTCTTCCTCGTCCTCATTTAATCATTATTCGTTAGGTATGTGAATTATAATCACTTATATAAATTAATTTATTATTATTGTTATCGTTGTTGTCATATTGTCTTTGTTTTTATATCATCTGTTTTAATGTTTTGTTGTGATTACGCGGCCAACGCCTTTATGGTTGTTATTAATTTTTTTACCGTTAAGTTTTTTTTTTTTTTTTACATATACACATCGTCGTACATATATTAAGTGTAAGAAATTATTGTTTTGTTGGTTCGTGAATTTACACATTTTTGTTTCATTTTTGTTTTCTGCTATTGAAGCAACGCAGAATTGTTTGTTTTCGTTGCCACTGGCGGCAATACGTAATCCGTTAAATAAATTACCTGTGCTGTCATTGCGACACATATTAAAATTTTGTACCGGCCGAGTCAGTGCGACACGAAGCCGTTTGATTACTTTATTATTCTAATAAAGCACCATCATTACCAGCATTTAAGTGAGTTGTTTGTATTTCTGGTTGAGTATCACTACCGTGTACCTACTTGTCTCATCAGCTCGTCATTGAGACATCATTGGACGGTGCTTTTCAATCGCCCGAGATCGGGATTGGTGCCATCAGTCAATGCGTAAGACCGCCAGCACCCGCCGTGGTGTGTGAGAGGCCGCCAAGGTCTTCGAGTCCATTCGCCGTCGTTTGTCATTTGTTGCAGCCTTCATCCACATCATCATCATCGTAGAGTTAAGGGTAGATTTTAAGTATTCGCCGATTTCTGTGAGCTTGGTGGTCATTGCACCACACCGATTCCGACCACCAAGACATCCCCCCAAATAACTAAACTCATCTTCCTTGTTCCCGTGCATAAACTTAACTTCCTTGGTCCGGTAATTTTAAGTCTCTTTTGGTCCCCTCCTATCTTCGTCGTCGTCGTATCTGGTTGCCTACCCGGTCATTTTAAGGCAGTGCGCATTAAGTTGCCTATCCAGTCAAATCCAAGGCAGTGCACATTAAGTTGTTCATGTCGAGATAACATCATCACAACCTAGGTTCCATAATCATTTATTCTCATCGTAACAAGCCCAAGTGGCATCATTGGTAGCAGAGCGTGGTTTACAAATCAATCTTTTCTAATCTTATCTAATTTCAACAATCTATCATCGGTTATACCGTATAGTCAAAACTACTATGGCGCCTCCAGAGTTGACTGAATGTATTAGGAAACGCGGGGTAGCAAAGGGTAAACTAACTCGATTCGGATCATTCTTCGACACATTCCAAAGGAATGCAAGGCGCAACTACACTGAGTTGAAATTACGGCTAGACAAACTGGAATCATTGTTTGATGAATTCGACCTTATCCAAACTGAAATCGAAGGTTTGGATGAATCTGACTCGCAGCAAGAAGAACGCATCAAATTTGAAAATGAATTTTTTTCCATACAAGCGGCGGCCGTGAATGAGTTATCATCACAAGAACTCCAATCGTCTGATCAATCATTTAGTCGAAATCATCGACCGGGTGTTGAAGCTCACATGAAGTTGCCGAGAATCAACCTTCCTGAATTTGACGGAGAATATGAAAACTGGCAGTGTTATCGAGATACTTTCAGTGTCATGATTCACAACGCTCGAATACCTGCAGTAGAAAAATTTCAATATCTCCGATTATCTTTGAAAGGGCTGGCGGCGCAGCTAATCGAAAGTTTGGAGGTAACGGAGGGGAATTATTTAGTTGCATGGAACTTAGTTCAAGAACGATTTGAAAATAAGCGTCTTATAGTACAGACTCATGTATCAAAATTATTTGCAGTAAATAAGTTAAAAAATGAGTCTGCCTCTGCAACGAGAAGTTTCTTCGACATCTTTAGTCGACACCTGGGAGCTTTAAAAGCTATCGGAGAACCAGTGGATGAATGGAGTACGCTATTAGTACACATAGCATCTTCCAAACTCGATGATAAATCTCTCATGGAATGGGAAACTTCACGAAAAGATACAAGTGTACCAACATGGAACGAGTTCACTACGTTTCTAAATCATCGATGTCAAACGCTCGCAGCAATTGAAGTCTCTAAAGCACAGGGAAGAAACATGTGGCAAGACCCATCAATACCAGTTCGACGGTCATTTACCACGGTTCACCAACCGTCCATCATGTCACAGTCAAAATGTCCCATGTGCAAATTAGTACATGCCCTAGCTTTATCAATGTCCAAAATTTTTAGCTTTGAGAACGCCAGAGAGAGTGAAATTTGCTAGAACAATAAACGTTTGCGTTAACTGTTTACGAGGTGGTCACCGAGCATCGTCTTGTCGTAGTGCAGGTTGTTCAAAATGCAACCAACGACACAATAGCAAACTACATCTGGAAGACGATGAAAGAGCCGAAGCATTTGCGAACAGTGCGTTAATTGATGAAGAAACTGGAAATAGTTCTGATACTCAGGAAAGCATAGTGGATAGCGAAGAGAGCCAAGTAGCATTAAAGGCACAAATAATGGAAAAGAGAAAAACCGTCGGTGAAGTAACAATGTTATCAACGGCTTTAGTTATAATTTCCGATGTGCGTGGTAAAGGAATTATGGCAAGAGTTTTATTGGATTCTGGTTCCCAAGTCAACCTTATGACTACCAGACTGGCAATAAAACTAGGTTATCCAATAACTGAAACAGCTACAACGGTAATTGGAGTATCAGGTATGTCATGTAAAGCAGTTGGACAAGTTAGCGCTACTGTGAAATCGAGAATTAATGCATATTCAACAGATTTAAGATTCTTGGTATTACAGAATATCGCAAATACCTTGCAGTCAGTACAACCAACCAACGAAGTCATGAACACAATTAATCTAGGCGAATGTGCTGACCCAGACTTCCGTTCTACAAAAAAAATTGATATAATACTTGGCTCCGAAATATTCTATGAGCTGTTATGCATCGGTCAAATAAAACCAGCAGGCACTCGCGCAATTTGGCAAAAAACTGTATTCGGTTGGGTTCTATCAGGACGGGTACAGAGTGACCACATTAATCCTCACACGTCTTGCATGACAACAATGGTGAGTATCGACAATTCAATTCAAAACGAAGTACAGAAGTTTTGGGAGCTCGAAGAAGTCGTCGAACCAAAGGAACGAAGAAAATATAGTATTGAAGAATGCAAATGTGAAACCCATTTTTTGAAGACGTCTTCAAGAGACGCCGATGGTAGATTTACGTTAAAGCTACCATTTCGTAACAACATACAGCAATTATTGGGTGAATCGCGTTTCATGGCAACGAAAAGATTTCATCAGATGGAACGTAAATTAAATGAAAATCCAGAGCTTAAGCTGGAATACGTCAGGTTTATGCGTGAGTATCAAAATCTTGGTCACATGACCCTGTCGACTAAGACGAATACTCATTCGACGGAACATCCACAAGTATTTTTACCACATCACCCAATCATCCGAAATGAGAGCTCTACCACAAAGATTCTAGTGGTTTTTGACGCTTCTGCAAAAACTTCCACCAACATATCACTCAATGAAACCTTAATGGTTGGCCCAACTATTCAAGATGACCTCCGTAGAATTTTAATGAGATTCCGAATACACCAGGTAGTTCTTACAGCTGATATTGAAAAAATGTACAGGCAAATCAATGTTAGTGAAAACTGTCAGTCATACCAACAAATTCTTTGGCGGGAAAACCCAAACGATCCGTTGGAATCATATCGATTAAATACGGTTACTTATGGAACATCATCCGCACCTTTTATGGCTATCAGAACATTATATCTCTTAGCAGACTGTGAAAAGAATGACCTTGCTAGTGCAGCACGTATTACCAAGCGTGACTTCTATGTAGATGATCTTCTGACCGGCGCCACAGACCTGGTGGAAGCAGCCAAACTTCAAGATGACATGCTACAATTGTGCGAAAGGGGAGGATTCTCTCTTCGAAAATGGTGTTCCAATCGTGAAGAGTTGTTAAACAGAATCCCCGACGATCTGCGCGCCACTAATTCTGATCTTAGTTTTCAAGATGACCATTCAACTAAAACCCTTGGAATACGATGGAAACCTAAAGCGGACCAGCTGCATTACAAGGTCCAAGTAATGACACCATTAACACGGATGACAAAGCGAACTATAGTTTCTGAAATATCCCGTTTATTTGATCCACTCGGGCTCGTTGGACCAGTAATTGTAAAGGCGAAAATATTTATTCAACAACTGTGGAAATTAAAGCTATCGTGGGATGAATCCCTTCCGAGTGAATACCATACAGCCTGGGAACGATATAGACAGGAACTCTTGGATATCACTAAAGTAAGCATATCAAGAAGGGTTATACGGAGTAGTGACATTCAGCTACATGAACTTCATATATTTTGCGATGCGTCACAAGTCGCTTATGGAGCATGTGCATACATTCGCACAGTTAGCCATTCGGGTGAAATCCACTCGCAGTTATTAACTGCTAAATCTCGGGTCTGCCCTTTAAAGACAGTGACAATGCCTCGTCTAGAATTATGTGCAGCACTGTTGGGTAGCAAGTTGATGATGGTGGTGGTCCAATCGTTAAACGATATTCTTAAAATTGATCGGATTCGAATGTGGTCAGACTCATCTATTGTATTAAGCTGGATTCGAAATGAAGGTGCTACAGACATTTGGAAAATATTCGTAGCAAATCGTATTGAAGAAATCCGGGAACTAACAAACAAACAAGATTGGTGGCATATTGACGGGACGGATAATCCGGCGGATTTCATTTCCCGTGGCTTAAGCGTCGCAGAAATCATTAACTGTACTCAGTGGTGGAGTGGACCCTCATGGATGATACAACCAGAAACCGAATGGCCAAAACAAAAGTTATTGAATAACGAAGAGGAACCGGTAGAACAGCGTAAGACGGTTAAGGTATTACACGTCCACACCGAAAGTCAAATGGAGTTTCAAGATATCGTTAATAGATTCTCGAAACTAGAACGGTTGCAACGGGTAACAGCTTATCTATTTCGAGCAGTTACTCAAAGGAAATACCGCCTGACTGGAGATTTGAAAGCTGAAGAATTAAAACGAGGGTTGATGTACTGGGTAAAAATCACTCAAGCTCAAGCGTTTTCATCGGAAATTTCCCAGTTAAAGGCTGGAAACAGTTTGAATGACAGCAAATTACAATCGTTAGTTCCATTCATCGACGACAATGATGTATTAAGGGTTGGAAGCCGGCTACAAAACTCAAACGAGTCATATGAAGCACGTCATCCCATTATTCTGCCTTCGACAACATATTTGGTCGAATTAATTGCGGACAAGGAACATCGACGATTAATTCATGCCGGACCACAGCAAATAGTAGCTAGTTTGCAAAGAGTGTTCTGGATTCCGGGCTTACGCAGTGTTATTCAAAAGATAATTTTTAAATGTAACCCATGCTATAGATGGAAAGTACAAGCTTCCAAACAGCTAATGGGCTCCCTTCCGGTTAGTCGAGCTAATCCATCATCAATATTTCATGTATGTGGAGTCGATTATGCTGGGCCTTTTCAAGTGCGTTTCGGTTCACGTAGATCAAAACATATATACAAATCATATGTCGCCTTATTTGTATGCTTTACAACAAAAGCCATACATTTAGAATGGGTAGATGATTTAACTACTGAATCATTTCTCGCTGCGTTACGGATATTCATCGCTAGACGTGGGTGTCCATTACAAATACATTCTGATAATGGTCGAAATTTCGTTGGAGCAGCGGCACAACTTAAGAACTTTCTCGGATCCAGGGAATTCAAACAAAATATTAACGCATACACAACTCAAGCTGGAATTGAGTGGTCATTCATTCCGCCACACTCCCCACATATGGGTGGACTATGGGAAGCAGGAGTAAAATCAATGAAGTATCATTTACGAAGAAGTTTAGGAGAGTCGATATTAAATCACCAGGAGGCCAAAACTTTGCTAGCACAAATCGAAGCAGTATTAAACTCAAGGCCTCTAACTCCCGTATCAACACACCCTAGTGACATGGAAGCACTAACCCCGGGTCACTTTATTATAGGAAAACCTTTAACCGCATTGCCGGAGCCCAATTACCTCGATATAAAAGCTCCACGCCTTCGTTGGCACATGGTACAACAACTGGTTCAAGGATTTTGGAAAAGATGGCGGACGGAGTACCTTCAGTCATTACAAGTACGCCACAAATGGACTCAAACTGAAGAGAATCTCCAAGTTGGTGATTTAGTGCTGATTCGAGAAGACTATGAAACACCACTCGCATGGAGTCGTGGTAGAATACTTCTTCTACACACGGGAAGTGATGGTCTCGTGCGTGTCGCTACAGTAAAAACAGCAACCACAGAAATGAAACGACCAATCCACAAACTTTGCCTATTACCCGGTCAACGAGAAGTTCAATTAAACCCGTGAAGGGTTTAATGGGGGCCGGTATGTTGCCGCGACACAGTGTTGTGATTATCATGCGATATGCAAAACAGCGCAACGGCGGCGACCAGTCTTTATCTCTCTCCCTCTTCCTCGTCCTCATTTAATCATTATTCGTTAGGTATGTGAATTATAATCACTTATATAAATTAATTTATTATTATTGTTATCGTTGTTGTCATATTGTCTTTGTTTTTATATCATCTGTTTTAATGTTTTGTTGTGATTACGCGGCCAACGCCTTTATGGTTGTTATTAATTTTTTTACCGTTAAGTTTTTTTTTTTTTTTTACATATACACATCGTCGTACATATATTAAGTGTAAGAAATTATTGTTTTGTTGGTTCGTGAATTTACACATTTTTGTTTCATTTTTGTTTTCTGCTATTGAAGCAACGCAGAATTGTTTGTTTTCGTTGCCACTGCGGCAATACGTAATCCGTTAAATAAATTACCTGTGCTGTCATTGCGACACATATTAAAATTTTGTACCGGCCGAGTCAGTGCGACACGAAGCCGTTTGATTACTTTATTATTCTAATAAAGCACCATCATTACCAGCATTTAAGTGAGTTGTTTGTATTTCTGGTTGAGTATCACTACCGTGTACCTACTTGTCTCATCAGCTCGTCATTGAGACATCATTGGACGGTGCTTTTCAATCGCCCGAGATCGGGATTGGTGCCATCAGTCAATGCGTAAGACCGCCAGCACCCGCCGTGGTGTGTGAGAGGCCGCCAAGGTCTTCGAGTCCATTCGCCGTCGTTTGTCATTTGTTGCAGCCTTCATCCACATCATCATCATCGTAGAGTTAAGGGTAGATTTTAAGTATTCGCCGATTTCTGTGAGCTTGGTGGTCATTGCACCACACCGATTCCGACCACCAAGACATCCCCCCAAATAACTAAACTCATCTTCCTTGTTCCCGTGCATAAACTTAACTTCCTTGGTCCGGTAATTTTAAGTCTCTTTTGGTCCCCTCCTATCTTCGTCGTCGTCGTATCTGGTTGCCTACCCGGTCATTTTAAGGCAGTGCGCATTAAGTTGCCTATCCAGTCAAATCCAAGGCAGTGCACATTAAGTTGTTCATGTCGAGATAACATCATCACAACCTAGGTTCCATAATCATTTATTCTCATCGTAACAAGCCCAAGTGGCATCAAGTTAAAATGTTGATAAAATCACAAAAATGCTGTCGTTAAAAATGTGTGGCATATTTAGTTTTATTACTTACCTAAAGCTAAAAAATGTAATACAAGATTCCACATAGGTACATTTGTTACTGCCTTACTGGAATTCGCAATATAAAATTTTATCATAATGCCAAATTCATATTTTTATGAGCGTAGGTATACATTTAAAATTTTAACAACATTGGATAATTTATTAATTGTATTCAAGCCTATAATTAACCCTATTTTTTCTTGTTTTTATTAAAATTATATTAGTTGTAGACAATTTTAAATATTTCACTGTTATTTAAATCATCATTTTCTATTCACGCAATGACATTTTCGAAATATTAAGACTAGTTTTAAGCATAGACATTTGAAATTTTAAAAACTGTTTTCATTAAATATTGACTAAAATTGTTTTTCTCAGTATCAGTTTTGAAATATATAATACAAAGTTCTCTTTAAATATTTAAGTTTATCAACATATAAAAATATTCAAAAAACATATAACTTAATATTTTTTTATAGTTTTATTAATTTAATAAGTTAAAAAATTCTTAAAATGTGTAAATTTTTTTGTAATTTAACATTCATACAAATTTCAATACTTTAAGGGTCGACAATTAATGCAAGGTTCCTCCAAATTTTTCCTTAAAGTTATTATTAAAATTTTTTTTTTAGGTAGATAGGTAGTAGGTACATACTTAAAATTTTTATTTCAACAAAAATTGAATATTATTTTCATCATAAAAAAACAAACATACTCTAAATATTTTAGTTATTTTATTGTTATTTTAAAAATTTTAATCCTACTGACTTTACACTTTTTGTTATACATGTATTATTATTATTTTCTAAGCACTATAAATTGTTCAATATATTTAGACTAATTTAAATTATGTACCTTCACCACAAACATATCCAAACGATTATACGGCACGTAGTTAATAACAATAATATAATATGGTTGAACTCTTTTTTGCCAAAACTATGATGTATTTGATGTATTATATCATATTATATTATTGTTATTAACTACTGTTATTGCTAATTGAAAAACAAATAAATCATAAAAACTTATTTGATTACAGCTGACACTCAGCATCGATTTTTGTTTTCAATAATTTACCACTGAATCAAAACTGTATACATCGATTCTATTGATATACCGTCGATGAAAATATTTACTTGACATTTTCTACACAGTAAACCAACATCAACGATTTTTTTTTTTTTTTTACTTTGCTTTCCATTCATTGTTGAATTCAATAATGGTAGAAAACACTATAATATTGTGTAGGTATTAAAATTATATTTATTTTTTTATAAGTTATAGCTCAGCACTAAGAATATTAAAAAAAAAAAAAAAAAAACAATACTATTGCCTTCATTCTTTTCTTCGTTTTTAGCGAAGATTCTAATTGAGATTATGTGGGTTTTAGTTGTCAGTGTAAATAGAGGGCCATAAATATTTTTCACAAATTATAATTTTACGTTATACCACTTTAATATTGATCCTCTATATTATTCAATTGGTGGACATAACACGCATTACTCTCCCTCGCTACTGTTTCTTCTTTATCATCCTTAAATTCAGTTTCCCGATTTAACCGGTCATAATTTTTCCCTATCACGTCAAATCAGTTACTTTGTACTCTCCGAGTAAACTTACTGACTCTGAGTAAACGAATTTAGTCGGGAATTTTTCATTTCCCCGAAATAACATGCTGGAATACATTTTAAACACAAGGGATTATTTATATATTAATTGAAACCACGATTTATACAGGGAGACCGGTTATAGTATATATATTGTATATAATATTATGTATAGTGTTCACAACTCATTACCGCGGAGAACAGATTAAGCGACGAGGGATGGTGAAGTGGAAGCTGGTCGGACGGTGGACCGAAAACATAAGTAGTTATAATAATAATCACCATAATTAATTTCCGTCCAGTACAGTGGATTTGTGTTTTAATTTATATTAAATTAGACCTATGCCTTCAATACTATATATACATATGTACCCACGAGTATTCAGAGAACTAAAATTTAACTAGAAAACGAGTGCCTAGATTAAATGGCTGGACGGGAAACGTGTATAATCGATTGCGCATATAATATGAGCATATTATTATTGTATTGTTGCAGCCGCGAGCCTTAGTAAAGTAATAGACGAATAAAATACCTATGAATGGTTTTTCATGATCAAATGAATTCAATAAATTCAATTATTATAAAATCAATCACACAAAATGATAACTGCATGCTCTATGCATATTTCACTAAACTAAAATATTGTAATATTATAGTGAAAAATAGTGATAGGCTATAATTTTAACGTGTATAATATCTGTAGTTTATTTTTTATTTCAAAAATTGAATTATGAATGAATTATTTTTATATTCGTGTATTTCATTTGATTTTCGAAATGTTGTTTGAATTGAATAAAACACACATTGTATATTATAAAGTTATTAGCTTCTGAGCGGAGGGAGGAAGCTAGTGGTTTTCCAATGATGTTTATTTTTTTTATTCTCTAAACAAAATTTCTACCAAGAGGAGTGCTTCGATTTCGACATATAGTGTCTTATATTTTAGCAAATTGGATCAAGATGGTACTTTAAAGAGGTAATTTTTCGATTTTCCCAGTAATTTTTTAACGCCACAGGAGAATCCACGAAAATACCCTATTGGTAAGCTATATTTTTTCTAACGCTTTGTTGGCACCATAGAAACGAATACAATTTTAAAATAACCGCTAAAAACGTAATTTCGTCTTAGTTATTTCTCCATAATTTTGAACACAACCATCAATGATTGAAAATATAAAACAAGGTTCCGCATTAAATTGGTAAATAAATTACTTTATTCACAATAATATCATCAAATATACCTGCTTAGTTGTATATATCATAGGCTGACTGGCCGTCATCGCTCAGAATCGTTTTTCGTATACAATGAATAATATCATTGAATTCAAATGTCACACCATCCATTACAGTGACCCACTTGTAACCTACTGTACAGCAAAGTGACACCCACTTGCCCGCCTTTTTTTTGTAAATTGGTCATACTAATATTATAGTAATAATATTATATAGTTATAATTATTTATTATTTATTATGATTCAGATATGGATATAGCACGCGTAGTATGAAATATCAAATAACTCATACCAAATCTTAAGCGTATATTTTTTTAGCGAGTTTATCTTAATAATAAATACAATTTATCCGTTGCTGTACTGCTTGTCAACCTATCGGACCATATTATATGATGGGCGAAACGCCCACAACTTTAATGCTAATTGTACATTTTCGTGTAACGAGTATACGATTATTTTTCCAGACTTTCGAGGATATATAATAATAATAATAATTATTATTATTATGCTAATAACACTATTATACTCATTCTAATTTTAAACAAATAAATTAATTGTTTTATACAAAAACATTTTTTTAGCTTACGCAAATGTCTGCAATTTAGTAATGTTGAAGAAGTACAAAAAATGTAATATGAATATAAAAAATATGGTATTTCTAAGAGTACCTATATTATATAGAGGACAAATGGTATAATTTAGATGCTAAATGTTATTAAATTTTCAAAACATTATATTTAAAACCAAACAATTTTTATCATAATTGTATTATTGTTTGATAAATGTTTGGTGAAATATTGAATTATTTAAAGTTTGGTAATGAAACTGTAACTGAATTTCATTAGGGACGTCGTAGGTATATTTTCATTCTTTAATTTTGTTCATTACGCTCTTGAAGTTACTTATTATAAACTTG